ACATTAAAATAAAAAAATTTTAATTTTTTAATTTATTCATTATATTATTTAAACATATATTTTTTGATAAAAATTTGAGTTATGATAAATGAAAAATTAAAATTAAGAAATAATGATAAATTTAAAGTTAAGGGATAGTAATAAGATTAAAGAAGGAAAAAAAATATTTGTCTCATTTAAAAGAATTAAAATGAAAATTAATTTTAGATAAATTTTAAGCAAAAATATATAAAAGTTTTTGGCACTAAGAGAGTATAAGTTACTCTATAAATTTGTGGACAAACGCCAACAACCTAAATTCGAGTGACCCATTTTGCCATGGACAAACCACCAGTGCTGACCTGCAAACACACGCAAACAACATGGGGCGATTTACCCATTTTGCCAAAAGAATTAAAAATAAGAAATATTAATGTTTAAGTAAGGAAGAAACCCTTCTTAAGCCCACAAACTTACCTCAAAATAACATTTAAGTCCCTAAACTAAAAATGAAGCAAATGAGCCCTCCAACTCCACTAAGGATATAAATAAGCCTTTCTGCTTAATTTAATATCACATTGAAAGCATGAACACCAATAAAGAAAAAGTGTTATTATTGTTATTTTTAAAAAATGGCACATACGTATATAGTTTGATACTCTTTCTAACATGAGTTTTGATTCGAGTATTAAAATATAATATAAATATAATTAATTTAATTAATTTTTGTATCTTGTATTCATAATTGCATTATTAAGTTTATTTATTTTTTATTTTAGGTCAAAAAATAATGATTTTTAATGAATATATAGAATCAAATTGCATCCCAATCATTATTTTATTTTTTAAAAAGAAATAGAGACTGTATTAAATAAATAAAATTAAAATTACATATAAATTCATATATCACAGAACATATATAGCCAAAAGTACATATCTTATAACATTAGACATAGACTTAAATCATTTAAGATAGACATATTTAAGATAGACATATACAGACAGACACATAGGTATGAAGGGCTATCTAAATCTAGATATTACATTAATAATGGCTATGGAGGCACAAACAGAACCAGTAATATATATATATATATATATATATATATAAAGGTTTCTGCAGGTATTTAGAACTGTTAAATATTCTTAACTGTTATGCTAATATTTTTTTTGAAGAAACAGGTACTTAAGCTATCAACAGTCTCCTTCCAGTGATAT